ATTCTAAATGTAATTACATTATTTTTGGTCCGAAAATTTTAACAAATATTATACCTAACCTAGACATAAAAATGAACAATATTTCTATTCCTCGCTCAACCAGCACAAAATTCCTTGGAGTAACAATCAAGGACAATCTGTCTTGGGATATTCACATAGATACTATGTCTAAAAGAATATGCAAAACCCTAGGAGTTATAAGCAAAATTAAAAATAAATTAAATAAACCTACTCTAATTGACCTGTATTATTCATTAATCTTTCCTCACCTCATCTACTGCAACGTAATTTGGGGAAACAGTCCTGACATTCATCTAAAACAGTTAACAAAATGCCAAAACCGATTCATCAGAATATTTAAAAATCTTCATCCTCATTGTCACACAAGTGAATATTATCTCGAGATGAAAATACTCAACATCAAAAACTTGTTCATCTACCACGTTGCAACATTCATTTTTAGATTTCTACGTCAGCAGTTGCCGGCATTTTTTAGAAACTTTTTCACTTTTGGAACTTCCATTCAAGCAAGAACTACACGCCACACGCCACTTTTCTATGATCCACCAGCCAGAATTAAAGTACTCTGCATGAGTTTGAAACATACCGGCCCAGGAATATGGGAGACGATTCCACAAGAAATTAAAGATTGTAACACTTTGCATCTTTTTAAAAATAAACTGAAAAATTTTTTAATTACGAAAAGTTCTGTTTTTCAAGGATAATAATGTATATGTATATATATGTATATAAGTGTGTACATATTTCATTAACATTGATAAATTTTCTCCTATTGACAATTTTATTTTATCATTGAGAAGCAATTTTGAGCTGCACGGTGGCCGAGCCCACAAGAATTAATTTTCTTTTTTTGGTCTCCGAATCATTCATGCTTTTGTTTTGTTTGATTGAATAAAAGTGATTTGATTTGATTTGATTTGATTTGATTTGATTTGATACATACATACATACATACATACATACATACATACACACATACATACATACATACATACATACATACATGTTTCTAAGCTTTTATTGGTTTGATTATGTTTCTTTTTCAAATTAGATGAAACATAACAGAAGTTTTTTTTGTTAGAAACAATTTTTATATAGGGAAAAAAACATCACCCACTAATGCATGAAAAAAACAAACAAAAATGGCTTTCAAGTGCAACAAACACACACACACGCACAAACATTCATACACACATACACACACACACACACACACACACATACATTTCGTATACCTAGAAACGTATAAACACAGATGGATGATTCAAATACCATTGTTTATTTTTCCTCTACTCTCAAATGCTTCTCTCTATCATTACTGACAAGGTAAAAAATGTAACAAAAAAATAATAATAACATTAATAATAATAATAAAAATAATAATAAAAACAATAATAACATTAATAATAATAATAATAATAACAATAATAATGAAAATAATAATAGCAGTTATAATAATTTATTAGACAATGATTTTGCTGTTACATCTTATAGTTAGTTTGTTTTTACGCTGCAGTATTTGTCTTTTAATACCTCTTCAGTTGTTGTTATTAATATTATGATTTTTATTGTTGTTGTTATTATTATTATAGTTATTATAGTAGAAGTAGTGGTTGTAGTAGCAGTAGTAGTGGCCACAGCAGTTGTAGTATTATTACCATTAAATAAATATATATATATACATAAGTAAACATATGTTATTGTTGTTGTTGTAAACATATGTATGTACACATATGATTAATAAGAATCATAATAAATAAGAGCAAAGGGTTTTATAGCGTCATAAAACAACAACAATAACAGTAGCAACAATAACTATAATAACAACAACAATAACATTTATAAACAACAACAATTATAACAACAACCAAAGGCAAGCTGTCAATAAGTAACATTGGTTAATAACAAAAATAGATGTTTGTTGAACAAAAATGTTGGAAAATATTTCGAAGATGGATGAGTTGAAGATGGATGGATGGATAGATAGATGGATGGATGGATGGTTGGATGGATGCATGGATGGATGCATGAATGGATGGATAGATAGATAGTCAAACGAACGAACGAACAAACAAACAAATGAATAAATAAATATTTCACTCACATTCACATCAATCACAACCCCGGGGCTGGCTTTAGCACAGGCAAACAGTCGCCCAGGGCCTCCCTTCGAATATTTTAGGAACCTCGCAATGCAGCGCAATGCAGATTAAAACAACTTTTTTAAGAAATCCTACTTTAGATGACTTAATTTTATATACTTAACTGTTTTATTTTTAATCAATGGCAGTATTATGCGGCGAGAATTCATCATAAAACAAGCGTATTTATGTTGACATTTTTTTAAATGTGTAAACTTTCTTTGGCACATTTTTAAAAATTTTCATTTGGGGTCAACACATTTTTCTAGCCTAAGGCCTCCTACTACCTGACAACTTTCACCATCATCAAAACTTGATAATAATAATTCTAATAATAATGACAATTTTAATCCTTTTCCGACTCCAGAAATCGAGTTCGAAACTAAAGGATTTTGAGAAGGAATGCACACTGGGAACGGGATCTTTCGGCAGAGTGGTCCTAGTACTCCATAAAAAGGATAAAAATTATTACGCCATGAAAGTTCTCAACATGCAAAAGGTTATAACGGTTGTTGCTGGCAGCTACTGCTGCTGCGATCATTGCTGCAATTGTTGCTGTGGCTGTTGTTGTAATTGTCGTTACGATTGTTGTAATTGTTCGTGTGGTTGTTGATGTGATCTTCGTAATTTAGAGTTTGCTTGTCTTTGCTTCAATTGATTCAATCGTAATCAGTATTTCAATTTTCCGAATGAATCACTAAATATCAGTTAACCATTTACATTGGCTAACTTCCAATCCAGGATTAACACACAATACAATCCAACATTCAATTCATATCAACACTCAATCCAAATCAACTTTCAATCCAGAACTCAATCCAAATCAACTTTTAATCGCAGGTTATAAAGCTGAAGCAGGTGGAGCACACGTTGAACGAGAAGAACATCCTTCGCTCCATCGATCATCCTTTCCTTGTTAGAATGCACTACGGGTTCAAGGTCGTTTCCTTATTATTATTATTATTATTGTTATTATTATTATTTTATTTTTTTATTATTATTGTTATTTTTTATGGTGTGTGTACCTGGAAATAAGAATAAAACTCTAAGTACCTCCGAACGTATGTTCAATTTTCGCTGGTTGGTTTGTTGCTGTTGTTGTTATTATTGCTGTTGTTGTTGTTAAGGATGTTGTTGTTGTCGTGTTGTTGTTTTTGAGGTTGTTTTGGTTTGTTTCTGTTGTTGTTATTGTTGTTAAGGATGTCGTTGTTGTTGTTGTTTTTGTTTTGGAGGTTGTTGTTTGTTTTTAGCTTTTCCGAAAGATTCTTCATCTGTTTGAAACCTTGCGCCAGCTGCCGACGATTCGAACAAAAATCAAATGAAAACAATAATGTGATTGAAATAAATTTTACTTTTAAACGTTTCTACTTTTTTTAATCTTTGGAATAACCTACGTCATCATCGCCATCATCATCATCATCATCATCCTCTTTTGATATTTTCGACTTAAACGTAAACCAGATGATAGGGCAAGAAAAAAATTTAAAGCATCTAAAAAGCAACAACAACAACAACAACGACAACAACAATAACAACAACAATAATAATAATATATAATAATAGTTATAACTTTTCTAACTTATGAAACCTGAAAAATTGTAGAAAAAAAATAATATAAGAATTTTCATTTTTGCAAGCTTTAAACGCTTTGAGTTTGAACAAATAAACAGTGTATGTGTGTATTTGTGTATGTCTGTCTGTGTGTGTTTGCATGTATGTATGTGTGTATGAATGACGTATTATTTCTTTTTTTCGGTTCAAACATATTATCTTTTATTCAAAGAAAGAAAGCATTCGTTGATACGAACTTTTGAAAAACTTTTGTACGTATGTATGTATGCATGCATGTATGTATGCATGTATGTATGTATGTATGCATGTATGTATGTATGTATGCGTGTGTAATAATAATTCTTATTCATCATCAAATAAAATGTGTTAAAATTTTAGAAAAAATGTTAAAAAGAAGCTGAACAAATGTTCGATATTCTTCTTCTTCTTCTTCTTCTTCTTCTTCTTCTTCTTCTTCTTCTTCTTCTTCTTCATATCATTATTATTATTTTTATTATTATTGATAGGATGCTTGTAATTTGTACATGGTTCTTGACTTCATAAATGGAGGTGAGATGTTCTCGCATCTGAGATCTGTCGGAAAGTATAGGTTGGTTGGTTGATTGGCTGGTTGACTGGTTGGTTGGCTGGTTGGTTGGCTGGTTGGTTGGTTGATAGTTTGATCGTCCGAATATTCAACAAGATGGTTGAAAGCTCCTGGCTTTGAAAGCTCCTGGTTTTGTTTTGCAGGGACTTTATTTCGATTGCAAGTCGATACCTATCAAATACACGCATGTATGGGATATGTCGTTTAGGTGTGAGTGTGTCTATGTATGCGTGCGTGTGTTTGTGTGTGTGCCTGCATGTGTGTGCGTGTGTATGTGTGTGTGTGTGAAGTTGACAAAAGTTCACGAAGAAGCAAGAATGAACTTGAACTTCGACCTTTAAAAAAATGTCATTAAGTCTCCCCGTTTTGAAAACCCAGCGAGCTGCAGACAGAGTTCTACGCGGCCCAGATTGTCATGGCCTTCGAGTACCTCCACGCACTGGATCTCATATACAGAGATCTCAAACCGGAAAATATTCTCATCGATTGTCGGGGTTACGTCAAAGTTTGTCGTTGTTTTGCCGTTCTTTGTTGATTTTTTCTGTTGTTTGTGTTAATTGTCTATTGTTTTAAATTCAATTCAACTAAAATCATCAAAATTATGAAAATTAAAAATTAAAACTAAAAATTTCACTGAAATTAAAATCATCAATTGTTATTTTTTTTTTTTTTTATAGTCAGTGGGTTTTGTTCATTTCAACACATACACAGATACACACACACACACATTTGTGTTTTACGGAATAAAAGATTAATTGAATTGAATTTGTAGATTACAGATTTCGGTTTCGCGAAACGAACGAAGGGGCGAACCTGGACCCTTTGTGGCACTCCAGAATACATGGCTCCTGAAATTATTCTCAGCAAAGTCGGTGGCTATGTGGTCTTTACAGTTTTCATAAATAATGTCATCATCGTCGTCGTCGTCATCATCGTGATCAATTTCAATCTCATCATAGTCTTTGTTATTTTTTTATCAGCATTTTCATCAGCTGTTTCGCCACCACCACCATCGTCATCATCATCATGACCGACAAAAACGCCATCATCATCATCATCACCAAGGGTTACAACAAGGCAGTTGATTGGTGGTCATTCGGTGTCCTGGTTTTTGAAATGGCTGCTGGCTATCCGCCCTTCTACGCCGACCAACCAATCCAAATTTACGAAAAAATTGTGGCCGGAAAAGTTGGTTCATTGATTGGTTGGCTGATTGATTGTTTGGTTGATTTCCGATTTGCTAGTTGAGTGACTTGGTTGTTGATTGGTTGAACGGTTTGACTGTTTATACAAATGTGTACTTTTTGTGCTCTTACTTACTCTTACTCAATCATTCATTTTTCATCTCTTTTTCACCCTCCTCTCTTTTCCATCACAATCTTTCCCTCTTCCGTGCCCCAATCAAAGGTCAAGTACCCAGGTCACTTTAGTGCCGAGATAAAAAGTTTTGTGGGCAGCTTGTTGCAAGTGGACATCACCAAACGCAGTGGAGCCATGAAGAGCGGCATTGATGACATCAGAAACCACGCCTTCTTCCTCACCACTGATTGGGTGGGACTTTTCAAGGGCAAGGTCAAATTAATATGTATATCTGGATTGGAAAGTTTATTTTGAATGATGGCCTATAAATCAAATTAAAATTTAAAATCAAGGCTCGCTAATTTCGAATGAAATTTTGTTCGACAGCTGAAGGCCCCTTACGTACCACAATGTAGTGGACCTGGAGATGCGGGGAACTTTGATGAGTATGATGAAGATGATGAAGATGAAGATGACGAAGAGTTTCAAGGCCAAGAATTTGATGATTTTTGATTGGATGATTGATTGTTTGATGAGTTATAAGTGGCTGATTGAATGGTTGATGATTTCTGAATGGCTGATTGGTTAAACGATCAACTTTGATTAGTCGATTGATTAGTTGATGAGCTTTGATTGGCTGCGTGATTAATTGAAGAGTCATGAATTGCTGATGATTTCTGATTGGCTGATTGTGTGATTGAATGGTGAATTTTAATTGGCTGGTTGATAAATTGATGAATAATGGTTAATTGGTTGGTAATTTTTGATTGGATGAGTCAATAATATATGATCTCTCATTGGCTAACTGATTAATTAATGATGACAGAGTGAGCGGATAAAAAACTGATATATCGGTCGGTAAATTGATTGTACGAATGAATGGTTGAATGAATGATTGAATGAATGATATAACGACAACCTAGATTTAACTTATTAAGTCGTTCACAGTTGAAATATTTTTGAGAAGCTGACTAAAATTTGTTCAAGTTACTTATTTAGAAATTTCATTTTAAAAGAAACCGTCTAGAGTATTAAATACATTTCACATTTTGAAGTGAAAAAGCTACTACTACTACTACTACTACTACTACTACTACTACTACTACTACTACTACTACTACTACTACTGCTACAACAACCACTACTACTATTTCTACTGCTACAACAACTACTACTACTATTTCTACTACTACTCCTACAACTACTACTACTAAGTTATTCATATATTGCTGATGAATTTTATGTTAGTTTGAACTTATGCCGTTACAACAGCCATAATTTTAAACTATAATAATTACAGTAGGATGGTTAGATAGATACTCATTTGCAGAAAGTAAACAATGAAAAAAGTATTGATTTATTTGATTACTTTGTTTCATTATTTTCAACTTTTTGATAAAATAAATTTATTAATTTCTAAATTTTAGTAAATAAATTATCCAATTTTATAAATTCTGAGTTCAACTAGTTAAAAACAGTAAAAATATCTATATAGACACACACACACAGACAAACACACACACACCAAATACAAACACACACCACATACAAACACACACAAATATCAAATACAAATACACACACCACACAGACATACACATACATTTTTAAGTTGAAATATCACAAAAAAAAATCAATTTAGGTACGACCAAAAAAAACTTGATTGGAAACGTTTTAGAAGAATAGTAAGAGAGAATGAAGGCAGGCGGGGTAAACTTTGGAGACAGTTTGGTCTCGAAAACTACTGACCAGAAATGGAACGACTCACTTTGGCAAAAAAATTTAAACAAAGTTGGAAATGACAAGATGAAGAAAAACCATTTCGAAATTTGAAATTGAAATTTTCAAACCGTTTGCCGAAAATTTCCAACAGAAATATTTTTGATTTCACGACAATTATCTAGTCCTATCGCACTCTACTGAAAGAAAGATCCAAATAATTTATTTATACACACACATACACACACACACATACACATATACACACATACACAAACACACATACAGAGACACACATATACAGACACACAGATACACACACACACACACATACAAACACAGTCGTAGTAGTATTGGTCTTTTGTGTCGGTCATTATGAAGGGTATACAATATAATTTGGCACGAACAATCAATACTCGAGCAAACAATAATAATAACAATAAAAATGGCATTAATTATGTTGTTATTGATAACCATAATAAAAATAATAACAATAAAAAAATAATAAGAAGAAGAAGATTTTCATCCGTCCATCTTACAGATAGCGTGTGTTTTTGTGTATCATTGAATTCGCGTATGTATGTATGTATGCATGTATGTATGTGTGTGTATGTATGTGTGCGTGCGTGTGTATATGTGTATGTGTGTTTGTAGTCCATATTATCGATGAACAAAAAATAAAATGCATATTTGCTTTGTGAAAGTATTTGTGTCTGCTTGTATATTGTACTGTTTGTTGTTGTTTGTTGTTGTTTGTTGTTGTTGCCACCAACATCTATGTCTAGACCATCATCACCATCATCAACAACAACATCATCAAAATCATCACGATTATACGCTTAAAATTTGAATCAACCAAATGAATAACCATTTATATCACGTTCAGCTCTGTCAGAACAGGAAAGCCATAAAAAATTATGAAAGTGACGACGATGACGAAGATGACGATGGTGGTTATGGTGATGATGATGAAGATGTTTTTATTGATGATGATAATAATGTTTCTATTGATGATGATGATGGTGGTGGTGATGGTGACGAAGATGATGACGATATGATGAAGTTAATGAATGATGAAATGAGTTGATAAAAGTTATGATGAAGTTTTCAGAAATTATGATGAGAATGGTAATGATTGTTATCATTTTCTTCTTCTTCTTCATCATCATTATTATCATAAATTATACCAACAACAACAACATCATCATCATCACTACCAACAACAACAACAACAACAACAACAACAACATCAACAACGACAACATCATCAACAACGACAGCGTATGAACGACGTAAAATATGGGATGATAACAAATCGATATACTCGCTGAAATGTATCGAATTTGTATTGTGCGTTTGTATGTATGTTTGTATATATGTATGTGTGTACGTAAGTTTGTCTCTGTGTACGTATGCATGTTTGTTTGTGTTTGTTTCTTTATACTAAATGCCTGGATGTTTTTATTAGTGCTAATGAGTTTATGCATGAATTCTTGAGTATATTTTTATGTTTGTCTTTGTGCAGTGATGCAAACGCAAGTACAAACATTCCTACATACACAAACACACATACATACATACAAACACACATACATACATACAAACATACATACAAACATACACACACAGACACACACAAATACTATTCCATTGTTGACGTGTCATTAAAAACAGTTTTCGTTATATATTTATTGATTGTATAAAACAACCGCGAAATGCACTGTTAAACATTACTAACATTATAGACACACACACACAAACACACATACAAACACACACGCACACACAAACACACATACACACCACGTACTTAATTAAGCAAAGGCAAAAAATACTAGATAACAAGCTCATCATTAGAGCATACAATAGTCCAATCAGTATGTTTCAGGTAAATAATTGCACACATACACACACACTACTCCAGGCTTGAGTTTTTAAATTTGTATTTGTATGTTTGTGTGTGTATGTTTGTATGTGTGTGTGTGTGTGTATGTATGTTTTTATGCATGTTTGTTTGTCTGTGTGTATGTATGTACCAAAATCATTGAAAAAGTCCATTAAAATCTTGAAGACTAATGGTTGGAAATTTTCTGGAAAAAAAATGGAAAAAAGGAAAGTGACAGAAAAAAAAGAAGAGAGAAAGAAAAAAACTAGAGAAAAAGAGAGAGAAAAAATAGAGAGAGAGAGAGAGAGAGGAGAGAGAGAGAGAGAGAGGAGAGCAAGGTCGTGTAGTTGATGCCGTGTTACACGGTAGTATAAGGAAGGAAGATGATGATGGTGGTGGAAATGTGTGGTGATAACAATGATGATGATGGTGGAGTTGCGATGATGATGATGATGACGAAGACGACGACAAAGATGATGATACAGTAATGATGAGGTTGCTCAAACTGCTAATATAATAAGACTGCAGCTCTAGACCGAGTGTCATTGCAAGGTTTAATAATCATCTTGAACATCAACACCATCATCTTTCATCATCTTCTTCATCATTTTCATCGCCACCATCGTCATTAGCGTTATCTTTCTTCACGCTATTCACAGTAAACAATGTCATCTGTCAGCACAACTACAAACATTCAGCACACACAAAACACATCAACACGCTGTAAACAACAACAACAAAAACAACAACAACAACAACAGCAGCAGCAACAACAACAGCAAAAAATGCAACCACATATTCTATCTACCATCACGTGAGCATTCATTCACTTCCGTTTTGTCTGCGTTTACATCCGGTTCGTCAGCGTTCACATCCAGTTTGCTGTTTTCTTTACATTCGCTCTAATTTGTATGCTTACGTTCATGTTATATTCATCTTCTACAGTTCTTGTTTGCTGTTGTTAATGTTCCGATTGTTTGTAATTTTTATCTGTAATTAAATGTAAACAACTGTTAAAACTTAACGCATATATATTTATGTACACATACATGCACACATACTTAAACGATCATACAAACAAATATACAAACAAACAAACCTGCATGCAAACAAACATACATACAAACAAACAAACATACAAACGAACATACAAACACACATACAAACATACACACATGCACATTTCTCGACCTCAGTTGTCGACATCATCGTCAACCTATCTTGGAAGCATTCAACCGGAAGCATTCAACCGTACACAAAAAGCCATCATCATCGTCGTCGTCGCCATCCTCCTCATCTTCTTCCTCATCTTCCCCCTCATCATCATCATCATCATTCTTATTATCATTATCATCAAGATGTTAGATTTTAGTTGTGTTTATTGTATAAACAAACATATACATACATTGATACATACATACGCACGAATCTATGTAGGTATCTACATTCATTCATTCATACATACATACATACATACATACACCAACACCATTGGGCTAGAGTTAAACACCAATAAATGTGAACTCTATTTTAAAGATTCACTACATTTGCCACCGGTGTTGGCGGACGTACCCATCGTTCAAAAATCAAATTTAAGTCTTTTAGGCACACCCTTGTTCGAGGGCGACTCCCAAATTAAATTTTTTGATAAAAAGTTTTCAGAACTTAAGTTCGCCCTCGACCGAGTGTCTCATCTTTCCGCCCACGACGCCCTGACTATTGTCCGAGGCGCCCTCAGTTTGCCAATGATGTATTTTCTTCGTACATCCAGCTACATCAGCCCATCGTTGTTGGGCAGATTTGATGATGTTTTGCGTACCGCCTTGTCAGCTATTTGCAATGTTCATTTGACTGACAGTGGCTGGTCCCAGGCTCAGCTGCCGGTGCGGTATGGTGGTCTGGGGTTACTCAGTGTGGTTCAGTTGGCACCAATCGTCTATAAATCTTCTGCCGCTGCCACTCTTGACCTCCAGTCCGCCTTGCTTTGCCGATTTTGTTGTTCCTGTGACATCCCACCTCTGCCGACCACACCTGAAAGCCCTTCACAAGCTCAAATTTTAGATGAGCAATATAAGAAGACTTTTCATGAACTTCTGTCTTCTGGTGTCGGTGCTTCTTCCTCCGCCCGCTTATTGGCTGCAACTAGTGATGTTAGTTGTGGTTGGTTGAGGTCGTGGCCCAACACTTCCGTAGGCACCAGACTCGATGACGAGTCTGTTAGATTTGCCGTTGGTTTCAGACTTGGCCTAAGTATACAAAATAAATATCTGTGTCGTTGCGGCGCGGGGGCGGACGAATTTGGTCATCATGGTTTGGTTTGCCGTTTAGGTGGAGGCCGTCAACTTCGTCATTCAGCTTTGAATGATTACATTTGCCGGCTTTTTTCTAAAGCTTCTATTCCTGTTTTGAAGGAACCATCTGGCATTTCAGTGCAAGATGGCAAGCGACCAAACGGTTGTACTCTTACTTCCTGGAGAGCTGGTAAATGTTTGGCTTGGGATGTTACGGTTCCTGGTACCTTGGCCGAGCGCTACGTTCACCTTACCAGCAAAGAATGTGGTTTGGCTGCAATCAGGGCATCGGACGAAAAAATTAAAAAATATGAACACGCCCTGCCATTTTTTAGATTTTTTGCCAATATGTATCGAGGTCCTTGGACCCATGGACCCCAATACTTCAAAATTTATTAAAACATTGTGTAAAATGATTGGTATTCGGTCAGGTGACAACAGAGAGTTCTTTTTTGCAATAAACCACATCTCGTGTTTGTTGCAGAGATTTCTGCGTGTTTGTGTGTCGGAAAATATTAATTTAAACGCCGACGTATGAGACTAACGATACATTAAAGTGTTAACCCTTTTAATCAGATGTTTGACTGTTTGGTGTCATTCAACACGATTTGGTTTTAACATACATACATACATACATACATACATACATACATACATACATACATACATACATACATACATACAAACATACATACATGTATATATATATATATACATATATATATATATATATATATATATATATATATATATATATATATAGCACATAACCAGGGAACAAATGGCGTACTCTCACCTTTTGACAACTATATCTCTCTACTCTTCCAAACTTATATATATATATATATATATATGTATATATAGCAGGAGAGAGAGGGAGAGAGAAAGAAAGGGAGAATGAGAAAAAAATAGAGAGAGAGAGAGAAAGAAAGAGAGAGAACGTATAAAAACATTTTGAAAGGGAATTTTATGAGGAAAGCAAAGTATAATATAATGAGATGATGATGATGATGATGCTGTTAGCTACCTTAAAATTGATGACGTAACGATATAGATGACGTCATCATTATTATTATAATTTACTATAATAAACAAATAAAGATAAAAGTAAATAATTATAAATTCAATATATATATATAAATAGATAGATAAATAGATAGATAAATATATATATATATATATATATATATATATATATATATATTAAAATATTGTTAAACTTTATAGCGATAACTCTGACGATGTTTTAATTGATAATAATGACTTTGTAACCGAATGCTCCATAATGCGTAAGCAATAACAACAACAACAACAGCAACAACAACAACATTACCAGCAGCAGCACCAACAGCAGCAACAACAACAACAACATTAATAATAACATTAATAACAACAATAACAGCAACATGGCAATAATAACAATAATAAGAGCGGTAAGGTCATTGGCAGTGGTGACAATTTTATTCTCATCATCAACCCTTTCACATGGATACCGAAGCAAATATATAATAACTTCTAAAGAAACTTCCAGCAGTATTCTTAGTAGTAGTAGTAGTGGTGGTAGTAGTGGTAGTAGTGGTGATGGTGGTAGTAGTAGCAGTAAAAGTAGCAGCAGCAGAGGTAGTAGTGATGGTAGTAAAGATAGCGATAATTCAGTTATGGAACGGAGTCTAATTGGTAAGATGGATTTAATTAATACACTCCTTCAATTATTGTTATTGTTATTATTGTTAATGTTTTCAATGTTGTTATTATTATACCTTTTTGATGAACTTATCTTTATATTATCACTAACTATCACTGCCACTACTGCTACTACTACTAGTACTATTACTACTGCTGCTACTGCTACTACTACTACTGCTACTACTGCTACTACTACTACTACTACTGCTACTACTACTACTACTACTGCTACTGCTACTACTACTACTGCTACTACTATTACTACTGCTACTACTGCTACTACTGCTGCTGCTACTACTACTACTGCTACTGCTACTACTATTACTACTGCTACTACTGCTACTACTGCTGCTGCTACTACTACTACTAATAATAATAATTATTATTATAATAATGATAAATAATAATGATAATAATAACGATGATGATGAAGATGAAGAAGATAATAATGATTACACAGCCATTGCGTGACA